TCAGTCTTCCTTACTTATCTCTTATATTCTTCTTTGTGTTTAATCTGTATTCATGACATAGTTTTTCACTTTCTATCTTTAGCTGATTTCAAAAAATTATTGAACTTTATCATTGACATTTATCGTTAAACGCCAATGAATGCACGTATCTGTTTGATATTTCTGGGATTATGAGATGGCATAATGTTTAAGACGCTTGGTCCTGCTTTTGCAGTGGCTAGGTTCCGCGTCTATCCCTTGTAGTGCGCGTGAAGAGTGGCTTCATATTCACACGTGTGTGTGCTAATATTACCTCTGAAAAATAATGAAGAAAACAATTTTAAAATTATTATTAATGTAATGTTAATTTGTAGACACATACACATTGCAGGATGGAAACTGACAGTTCTAAACATAGCAGATGTCGATCTGCCACATCAAGGTCCAGAATCATGTCGTCCTTGCAACGCTCACTTTCATCAAATGTAATTCATTTTATTTTTTTTTAAGGCAGCAGCTTCATTTTCAGTTATTGCCTCATAATGATAACAATTTTTTTCGCTACTATTGCTACTACTTTTATCGTTGCCAGGAATTCGTCCTCCCAAAAACAAATGCTTACAGGGCTAGCGAAACTAGAACATCAAATTTCAGAAAGTTTTACAATCGAGGAGATTTTCCCATGGCTCTCGAACACGATGCCAAGGGAAACAAAATAGCTTGGAAAGTTAGTGCTAGAAAGTCAGAAACAAAAATAAAATTCAAGATTAAATAAATCTAATGATTTTCATTAAAGAACATTTACAATATAAACAGGTTGACGTTGCAAAACTTGATTACCAAGTCTACCTCCCACTGTTTTTTGATGGACTCAGCGAGACTGATCATCCGTACAGTTTTTTTGCAAATCAAGGGGTCCATGATATGTTAGCACACGGAGGGCACAAGGTGGCTTCTCTTATTCATCTTCTTATTGGACCTATTAAAAGTAAAAATTAAAAATTTACTGAATTTAATTTTTTATTATTATAAAAATTAGCATTTTATTATTATAAAAATTTTATTATTATAAAATTAGCATTTTAATATTTGATTAAAATAAATTAGTTATATAATATGAAGCCGTAATCATTTAATGCTGATAAAACT